TTATACCAGAGGAGCTTTCGCTCATCCCGCTGACGTGTTGCCGCGTCCTGTTGAGGAGGGAACGAATGCCCTTCAGTTCGTTTGGCATTGTGTCGAGCTCCCTAGCCCTGAAGGTCCCAGGGTCCCAGTGAACGGGGAGATGTGGGGGCACGTTTTTATAGATGGGTCCTGTCAGCGCCACCCGATCAAGGAATTGTCTAGAGCTGCCTATGCGATTACTATGCATGCTGAGGATGGCACGTGCCTTGGAGAGGCGAGAGGCCCTGTCTGGGCTCACCTTCCTCAGACGCCTCAGGCGGCTGAATATGCTGCCAGGTGTGTAGCCGCACAGTTCTTGGTGTTGCCGACCACTATTTATTCGGACTGTGCGAACGTTGTGTCTCACAGCACTTTGCCCTTGCCCGAGAGGTACTCGGGCAAGAGGTCTTATTCAGGAATGATCATGTGTGCCAACAACTTCGAGGGCCGCTTTTTGGAAGGAATTGTTAAGGTCAAAGCTCATTTAGATGTGCACCAGGAGGGCATCTCCGAGAGAGAACGTTTCCTCAGGCGTGGAAACGCTGATGCGGATGTGGGGGCGAAACATGCCCTTCAGCTTCACCCATCCGACCCGACCGAACTTGCCAATGTGGACAAGCTTGTGGAAGCGGCCAGGGGTTATTGCATCCTTGCTGCTAACTTGCTTCCTCTTTGGCCTAAGCTCTCTCTCGACGTTCCCTACCTCCCTCCTCCTCCTGCTGAGCATTTAAGCTCCCGCAGTAAGGTTGGCCATCGTTGGGAAGTCTGGGCTGACGTCTGGAGGTGTGCGGTGTGCCTCCGCGGGAACAGGGGCTCGTCTCGGCCCCCCCCTGGAAGGTGCCCCCAGGATTCCAAGCTGCATGCGGCTAGGCAAGATGCCCTTGGGCATAGGACTGTTGCTTTCGACTGTTCTGACAAGACAGTGCTTTTCATATGCCTTAAGTGTAAATGCCACTCCACTGGTGGCAGGATTAGAGGCCTAGGAGAAGTTTGCAAGAAGCCCACCCGTGCGGGCCGCCAAGGTTGGGCCGCATTGTGCAAGGGTATTCACCCGCAGTACTCCAAGTCCAGCAAAGGTGTCACAGTTGACGACACCTCGCTCGTTCGTTGCTTCAACTCGTTTTTGGTTTCGAATCCTCAATTTTCGGAGGAAGGTGTTTCTAGCCCTGTGCCCTCTGGCGCGTCTGGCAATGCGGCCAGCGCTGAAGGGCAAGAGCGTCCCAGCTTCACAGTTCCAGCTATTGCAGCCTCTGCCTGCGCTCATGCCAGCAGCGATGCGCCCAGCTCTTCCTTGAGTGATGTGGTCGCCTCGGCCTCAGCCACCAGGGAGTGCTTGGATCGCATTGCTGCGTCTCTCCGCTGCGAAGCGGAAGATTTGGGAACGGGTGGGACTGTGGAGGTGGGGTCGGGAGATTCGGATTGAATTTCAGTGTTCTCGCCTGCCTTTCTCTTTTGGCGGGTTTGAACCTTTTGTTCGTGCGTAGGCCTTCGGAGCCACTCCTTCTTTGAGTTTCTGTTCTCAATCTTATCTTCGGCCGTGCTTTGCTTCCTGGGCTTTCAGGCTGTTGTGGCATAGGTTGCTTCCCGCGACCTAAGCGGCGACCGCCTGTCCGCTTAGGACGCTCTCCGCGTTGCCGATTTTTCCAGCTGTGGGTCAGCTGGTGCCTGTCCTCGCCTGTCCGTCGCCTCTGTGACAGGCTTGGTTCTTGTTTGGCGAATTTATGAGCAGATCCGCTGCACTTAAGGGCCCCTTAAGTGCAGCGGGCTGTCTCGGCCTCCATCGCGTCGTTGCTCGAGCTGGCTCGAAGGGGCCTGCATCCCAAGGCGGGCGAGCCCCTCGAGCCGCTTGTTTTCGCGGAGCTCGGGGTGCCTGCGATGCTCAGCAGGCGCCCGAGCCCGAGGCACCTGAATAGTGGGCGTGCGCGGGCGGGGGGCGCGGTGCGAGTGGGGACTGCCCGGCGTTGCGCCGTTAGTGCCCCTCGCACCGTTGCTCCCCTGCCCCGCGCACGGATTTTTTCCAGCTGTGGGTCAGCTGGTGCCTGTCCTCGCCTGTCTTTCGCCTCCTGTGACAGGCTTGGCTCTTGTTTGGCGAGTTTATTTCTTTTGAGCACTGTCTCTGGCATTCTGCCAGACAGTGGGAGCCCGAGCCGAGGGTCGATCCGTGCGGGGAGGGGGCCATAGTGGGCGCTCCGAAAGGAACTCGCGAAGCCCCCTCCCCAAAGCGGCTCTCGCCGAGGCGAGGTCTTTCAGTGCTGGCAGGTCCCGCCCTGCCAGGCTCTGCACTTTGCGGTGGGTCCGTGGAGATCAAAAAAAGGGGGAAACCTAAATTTTTGACGCTTCTCGTATACCCACTAGTCAAATTCGCACCGTTCCGCCGCCCCGGACGTCGCTCCCGCTCCCTGGCCGTCGCCTTGGAGCCGCTAACCAAAAAAGTATACCCATTAGCGCCCGTTGGCCCGGACACCCTGCCCGCCGCCTGCCTCTTCGCTCGCGGCCGCGACCGAAAAAGTATACCCACCAGCCCATTCAGACACGGTCGGAGGCTTTCTTGTGGCCTCTTGGAGGCTATCTTGGGCTTTGCTCGGCTGGAGGTTGTCTGAGGCAATCCGGAGCCATGCTTAGCTATATTGTGCCATCTTGAGGTTGTATTGAGGCTTCTTGGAGGTAAGTCGGAGGCCATGTTGAGCTATGCTCGACCTCCTGGGACCATCTTGGGGGTTGGAGGGGGAAGAGGTGGAGGAGAAGGAGGAGGGGGAGGAGGAGGAGAAGGAGAAGGAGGTGGTGGTGGAGAAGGAGGATGAAGAGGAGGAGTAGGAGGTGGAAGAATAGGAAGAGGAGGATAAGGAGGAATAATGTGACACGAGGAGGAAGAAAAGGAGGAAGGATAAGGCCCGAAATGAGCGGACGAGGACAGGGAGGATGAAATCGGGTTTTGGAGATGTGTTGTTGTGAAAGGTTCTTGAAGCACGACAACTACCATCTCACTTGCTATCTTGGGGCTCCCTGTTGGGCCACTTGGGGCACTCTTGGAGCCCTCTTGGGGCTCATTTGGGAGGTCTTGGGGCCCTCTTAGGGGTTCCTTGGAGGGGTCTGGGAGGCCTCTTGGGCCCCATAGCTCAAAAAGTAAAGGGCCCCCCTCCCCTTCTCGGAGGCTCTTGGAGCGCTCTTGCTTGGAACGTTCTTGGGCGCTCTTGGGGCCTTCTTGGGGCCCTCTTGGGTCCCTCTTGGAGCTCCCTTTGCGCCGTCTTGGGGCCATCTTGAGACCTCAAGAGCCCCTCGTAAGCGAAAGGGCGAGAAGGCAAACCATATTGATTGTCCTTCGGTTTTGGTGCCATTTTAGCCCCTTCGGGGGGTCCTTGGATGGCTCGCAGGGTACTTGAATCCGTTTGGGGGCCGTCTTGAGGCCTCCGTGGATGGATGCTGGAAACAGCTTGGGGAGCCATGGGGTTTTCGTCAATTTGACTGTGCGTCCCTGGGCCTCATTCGCTCTTGGCGCTGAGCCCGCAGATCCCAGAGTTCCGCGCGGGCCTCCGGAAGTTGATGGTCATGCCCACGCTTGGAAACCCTTGGCATCGCTCGGACGTGTGCAATTTTTTTCGGCGAGGACCATCGAGGACCATCCTGGACCATCGCGCAAAAATAACACGCACGAAACCGAACAATTCACGGGAAATGGGCGTCCGAGCGATGGCAGGAACCTCGAGACGGAGGATCGAAGCAAACGGGAGTCAGCCAGAGCGCTGGAATTTACACGATCCGGCAGAGCCAGCGGTGCATTGACCCGGGCGAGCGCGCAGGATCCTGCATTCTCATGCAGGGTGTTTGCAGGATCTTGCAACGCCTGACACACAAGTTTGGATTGACACGGGTCAGTAATTAGATCCTCGACTCGTTTCTTTTCTTCGTATTGCTCTTCTTTTATCATTTAGTGTTTTCTTCTATTCTTGCATTTGCAGGTCGGGGCGTCTTTCGGGCCCAGGGCCAGCGTAAGCGTTTCCAGGACGACAAGTTGTCTTGTGGGGGTGGGGTCGGGACCCCCTGGGCCTGCGAGTTGAAGTACCTTCTCTTAGGTTGGAGGGTCGTCCAGGATCGGAGATTCAGTTGTGCGGGCCTTCTACGGGCTGCACTTGCCTCGAGACCAGCACGGTCGGAGCGGGCTCTGAGAGAGGCTCTGGTACCGATTCGAGGCATAACTAGCGTCCTCCTGCCTCCTCGGGTGTGGAAAGGAGCGCGAAAAGTCGGTGCCTTCACAAATTCTGTACCTGGGACCCACGCAGTTCGATCTGGCTCGAGAGTTGCAGCAACAGGACGAGGTCCACCTATCATTGTTTCGGCTCGTTGACTTTGTTCCCAAGAAGTCGGACCTCGGGCCGTCCTGGTGTGACTTTGACAAATACGCCGACGATGGCTTGATTTTTTGCAGCAGCATCAGCTTGGCCCCAACAGTGCAAGGGCTAAAGATGGGTTGACGCGAAGCACCAGCCTGGCCTGGCGCGCCGTTCTGCTTACAGGCGGGCATGTTTCCCAAGCCCGCCGATGCGCCACGGACACGTGCCCAGGGTTTCGCCGAAGGTTCTGCTGAAGCTACAGGGGCCTCGGCCATTCTCAAGCACTGCGGAGTAAGCTCATCGGACACGTCACAGCGTAAGGCCTGGAAATCACGAAGGGATGCCGTATCGGTCCATATCGTCCTGCGGTCTTGGCCGAGGAGGTTGCTCCGGAGGGAGGACAAGGAGGGGGCAGGTCATACGTACTACCACCTGGGGGAGGGAGGAGGACGGAGGAGGGAAGGACAGAGGATGGGGAGGACGGAGGAGGGGGAGGAGGTGGGAGGAGGAGGGGAGTGGGATGGAGGAGGGTCTAGGGCGGAGTACTTGGGGAGGAGGACGGAGGAGGAGGAGGAAGTCGAGGCATCAGGGAGGCTGGAGGAGGGCGGAGGGAGAGGAGGAACGGGGGGGAAGAGCACGGGCGCGCGGCCGCAGGAGCAGCGCGCCCTCGTGGCGTCGCTGCCGCAGCAGTGGGTGAAGCTGCTGGACCTCGGGCGCGCGGCTTCTGGAGGGGCGTCCGATGCGGGGCGAGGAGGACGAGGAGGATAGACCTCCTACCCTGACACGTCGATTAAGGAATGGGCCGTTTTCGGTTCGCGAGAGGGCGTCGCAGCCGTCATTTTTGCGGGTCCAGGTCCGTCGGTTTCGGTCCTACGCCGTTTTCATTAAGGGGAGGTTTACTAAAGGGAGGCCTGTCCACCGCCGAGAGGAGGAGGATCTGCAGCAGCAGCGAGAAGAGGAGGGAATACGGAGATGGGGAGGATCCGGAGCAGCGATGACGAGGATCATGCATCGCATCACCCTGGAAGTAAGCGTTTGTTGCATAGCGCGTGCGCGTCGGCACCAAACCTGTGCGATATTCGAGACCAGTAGAAAATAGTCACATGCATATAACGGGCATGCGTCTCGTGCGCATGTTTGGAAACCTACAAGCAACACGTGTGTGAACACAAAGCAGCATCAGCAATAACATGGCCTCCATATTACCCCAAGCCAGTACTGAGCCAGCAACTATAAACAAACTAACGAACCTACAATCCAACTACGGCCAACATGTGACCAAACATGGCCGCGCAAATACTGCAATGGCGCCGCGCAGACTTATATGCATGGCGCATGTGTGAACAGTGGCAGGATGTCCTTAATCAAAATCACGACGTCTGAGTCTTGCGAAATTGAGAAGCCGCCGCGCGAGATTCCAAACCGCGCGAATGTAACCGCGAGCTTTCGCGGCGCAGTCGCGCACTTCCCTGGCCCAGGCCAAGTCAACCGACGGATCAGATGTTCCAGGAATACGGGGGTTGTGATAGTATTCGGATGCCACGTGCGCGACTCCACGACCTGTTTTTCAATGTAGCCAAGACGTTGCGAGTGGGCAGCCTCATCCCTGTTCTCCTTTGCGCGTCAAAATCACCAGCGTTTGCCAGTATCCCGTCCCGCCGCCATTACTGTTAAAACCATGGGTCATATCCTCTACCGTTGCCGATTGGGCTCAAGGAATCGGTCGCCGGGTGTTCTTGGGGCGTAGCGGGATAGTCAACCAGATCTTCTTCGTCATGGTAATGCTGACCCGTGATAGTGGTTTGGGTCCGTAGTGCATGATTGGCTTTGGCTCTTGCAGTGGCTTGAGTGATAGCCTCAATGCTTACCAGGTGGATAGTCTGTTCTCGAGAGTGGTCGGATGTTTCTGTCTGCTGTTCATGGTCCAGAACAGGAAAGTCGGGTAGCATCGCTGGCTGCCGTCCGAACAGTGCTTTGACCTCATTGTAAAAGGTAAACGCGTTGGCTGCAAATAAGGCTTCATGCAGTAGACGTGTGAACACAAGAGGTATGTGTATCCTGTTGAGTTCAGTTTCCATGACGTGCAGTAGGTGTCGTAGTCTGCCGCTTCGGGCTTCAATTGTCGTAGCGTGTTGTCCACGCGCACGTATCCTCAGCTCAGTGCATTTTGCCTTAAGGACTGGCTTTGCGGTGTCGTTGTTAAGTGCACCCTCTCCGTCGGAGTAGAATGCATTTGGCAGGTCCGACTTGCATCCAGCACTGATGATACGCATTTAAGATGCTGGTCATTGTTTGATCTGGTATCTCGACTCCAGCACCATATCGAATGCAACGATCAATTATATGAAATAGATGGCGTTCCTGTTTGTAGAACATTAGATCGCATTCGGCTTTTTGTTGAACTTGCCACGTCGTGCAGTAGACGGCATAACGGTATGCCCTGGCTTGTCCCAAGCCTTGCGCTCCCGACATGTATCACAGACGTCTTTTTAATCAGGTTCAGCCTGACGTTGTCCAGACCAGCCTTGGCTAAGACGAGTCTCATCTGAGGATCGTTGGCGTGGAACCACCGTAAGTGCAGTTTTCGCAACTCGCGTGTTACCACGCTTGGACCAAGGCTGCGTAGGCTCAGTCGACTAATCTGTACATCGAACGTTGACCAGTCTGGAAATCTTGGACGAGCAGCAGGAACACCCGCAGGTAATGGTGGAGGTGGATCCCCTCCTTGCTGTCGACCTCGTCTGGCCACAATTTGTGGTAGCCGTCTGTGATCGTCCGAGCTGCCGGCTCCACTCGAGGCAGGTTGCCCCGCAGCCGGTTCAGTTGCATGTCTGCTTACTGTGATGTCGAGGTTGCTGGCGCCTGCTGTTCGTCCAGCTCTGGTACCAGGCCTCGGAACTCGTAGCCGCGCAATTTGTTGGGCGGCTGGTTACTCGGATGCTGCTGCCGCCGCAGGTGGTGGTGCTGCCGGTTCGGCAGGAGCCAGAGGCTCTTGTCCGTGGTTGTCAGGCAGTTCCCACGGGTTGGCAAATTGTCACTTGCCAGGCGCAAGTACGTGACCAGGTTTAGCCCGACCAGAGTTTTTTTTTGCAGCTTGCCAGTGATAATCCCCCTTATCGTACCACCTGCAATGCTAGGGTTCCCATCGTGCGAGGGGGAATGCATGTTGACGTTGTCCGCACGCTGGACATCCCCATCCTCACGATGATGGTCTCAGGATCGATCCGTCGGGGTGCCGATGGATAGTTGGGCCATTCAAGTCGAGTTCTCGTATGTTTGTGACGAGAACGGAAGATGAATGAGGATGATCATGAAAGGGATCACGATTCCACCAAGAGGGACTGTATGTTCGGAGTATATTGGGCTGCCATGGCCAGTTTCTTGTTACAGACCGAGGCTCGCTGATGATGGCCGGTGCACCGTTTCCTCTCGAAGGGTGTCAGCAAGAGACGGTGGGCATCCATTATCTCAGTCGGTTTGCGAACCAACAGCCCTTGTGAGTCACGAAGACCCGTAGTACACTGGCCCAATTTAGTTTTGCAAGTGCCTCGCGCTTGGCCAACATAGTCCATGCTGGTATTTTGTTCACCCGAGTACCCACCGGTTGTTCTCATAAGTAAAACCGTCGGAGGTCATTTTGACGCACGGCAACCTTTCCACAGACCTTGATGTGTGAGAGAGCGTGATCCACCGCCGCTCTACTGTGCAATATTCCCCCCCTCTTCCTCTGGAGCCCGGCCCCCTCCTCCCCCCCCTCCGAAAATCCCCACCCCGAGCTGCCCCCCCCCCCGGGAAAACCCCCCCTTCCCCAAACCTTCCCCCCTCCGGAAAACCGGGGGGGGTCCCTACCGGTTCGAACCCCCCCCCCCCGGAAATTGGGGTCTCTGCCGGTTAATTCGAACCCCCGCCTTTGGAAAACCGGGGGGGCGCAACGGGTTCGAAACCCTCCCCCCCCCGAGAAAAAGAGACGGGGGTCACTACCGGTCCGAACCTCCCCCCCTCCAGAAAACCGGAGGGGGGTTACTACGGGCTCGAATCCCTTCCCCCCTTCGACCCCCCCCCCTCTTCCGGAAACAAGAGGGGGGTCACTGCTGGTTCGAACCCTTCGCCCCCTTCCCCGCTGAAAACCAGGGGGGGGGGGGCACTACCGGTTCGAAGCCCTCCCCCCTCTTCCGGAACACCCACCTGGGGGGCTCACCGCCGGTTCGAACCCCCCCCATCCCCACCCTTCCAGAAAACGGGGGGGGGGTACTACCGTAACCTGTTCGAACCCCCCCTTCCCCCCCACCCCGCGCTCACCGCCAGCAAACGTCTCGCGGGTCTTTACCACCGTCCGCACCACAAACCCCCTTTCTGTCCCCAGCACCACTGTCCTACCCCCCGCTGTCCCAACTGTTCCCACCACCATCCCCACTGTCCCCACCAGTGCTCCCGCCACTGTCGCACTGTCCACACTGTCCCCACCACTGTTCCCACAGCGCTTCCACTCCCCACTTTTTCCACGGCCCCAACCACTGTCCCATTGTCCCCGCTGTCCCACTGTCCCCACCGCTGTCCCACTGAGCTGTCCCACTGCTCCCACCACTGTCCCCACTGTCCCCACCACTGTCCCCACTGTACCTCTGTCCCATTGTCCCACCGCCGTCTTCGCCACCGCCTTCACCACTGTCCCCACCACCGCTGCACCCTCCACTGTCCCATTGTTTCCACCACATTCCTGTTGTCCCCGCGCCGCTGTCCCCACCACCACCGTCCCCACCACTGTCCCACTATCCCCACTGTTCCCACCGTTGTCCCCGCTGTCCCCACCAGTGCCCCCGCCTGTGTCTCAGTGTCCCCACTCTCTCCACCATTGTCCCACCGCGGTCCCACTTGCCCTACGGTCCCCACCACTGTCCCCACTGTGCCCACCACTGTCCCAATGTCCCCGCCGCTGTCCCACTGTGCTGTCCCACCGTCCCCGCTGTCCCCATCACTGTCCCCACTGTCCCCACCACTTTCGCCAGTGTACGATTGTTCCATCACTGTCCTCACCACCGCCTTCACCACTGTCCCAGCCACTACCGTCCCAACCACTGTCCCACTGTCCCCACCATTGTCCCGCTGTCCCCTCACCATGTCCCCACCACCACCGTCCCCACCACTGTCCTCACCGTTGTCCCACTGTCCCCGCACCACTGTCCCCGCCACTACCGTTCCCACCACTGTCCTATCATCCCCAACATTGTCCAACTGTCCCGAGGAGCGGGAATCGTTTGCCAGCGGCGAGGGGGGAGGCGGGGTTCGAACCGGCAGTGGCCCCCCCCCGGTTTTCGAGAGGGGGGGGAGGGGTTCGAACCGGCAGTGACCCCCCCTTTTTTTCATGATGGATGTGTTGTGGGGGGTAGGGTTCGAACCAGTAGTGGCCCCCTGGTTTTCGAGGGGGGGGGGACGGGCTGGGAAACCCCAGTGCCCCCCCCCCGGTTTTCCGCCAGCAGCGGTAGAACACGCTCTTTCATGCCACGTGTCGTAGTTGATTTTAGAATTGAAGTAGGAAGGCAGTCCAGTTGTTCTGCAGTTAGGTTGTAGTATAACAGCGCTGTCGAAGCACACATCAAAGCGCGCAGAACTGCGTCCTGGACTTTCTTGTTTCCAAGGTCAACATGGGAACATTCATCGAGCTTTCCACCTGAGGATAAACCTCGGCTGAAGGCAAACTGCGATATCCCCCCACTACCTCCACAACGTTCCATCATGTATATATATATATGTCGTTCGTAACACAAGGTTGGGACTATGGAGCCACATCGGGATATATATATATATATATATATATATATGTGTGTGTGCGGCGAGGAATTCCCTGAAGGAGTCAAGTGATCCGTAAATATTGCATTTGCTTTGTAGCACGTCCTGTGCGGCGGCCCGCGGCTGTGACCGCTTGGCCGGCCGCCAGGATGTGGGTCGGGCCAGCCCGTATGGCTAGCCTGACTCGCTCGTTGTCGCGGGCTTCCCACGTTGCCACCAACGCTGGGCTCTGTGCTGGCAAAGGCGACATGATCTGGGTGCGGCAAGCCGGGCGGCGGATATCAGACACGCGTCGTATGACCCGATGCCGCTCCAAAACAACTGTTTTACACGCGGGGCATACGCCCGAATCGTCAATGAACGCCTTGATCGGAGCAGTCTGCTTATGAACGATCCGCTTATGCTGTAACAAAGTTTTGTTGGCCGGGAAGGTGGCGTCGCAGCTATTTCGCCGGAGCTGTACATCCGGCGGAGCGTGGCAGCCTTGCACGGCCACCTTGTCCAGTGACGGCTCACAGAAGAAGACTCGCTGTATTATCGAGGGCCAGACGTTTTCTCTCATGCGAGACATCCACATGCTGGGAGCCTCGGTGCAGCCAGGCATGGCGTCCAGCTCAGGCGCCAGGCGCAGGAGTAGTCCGAGGTCCACGATCACCTGCGCCACACACGGCAGGGGCCGCCCTCGCGGGCGCGCCTGCATAAGGGCCCATACCGCAGGTAACCCCGCCGGTCGTGTGATGAAGTTTTCTTCATCGTCGTCGTTGTCGGTGCCTAGGGGAACGTCGGTGTAGTAGTCACCACGCCCGAGGCCTTTCACGTCCTCACCGCAGTCGTCGTTGCCGTCTTCGGCTACGTTGGGTATCTTGCGTGGTTTGATGCCAGCTTCTTTATCAGTTTTCTATTTTTTCTTTTGCCTGATCCGGGCATCCGTTTGTAGTGCTGTCTGTTGTTGTTCAGTATCGGTTGTAGTAAGTGTCAGAACGTCGGGAATGGGGGGTAGGGGGTAGCGCGCGGCCACGCTCAATCGAGGGGGGGGGAAGACGATCGTCATCGACGGTCGTAGCCCGCGTTGGGCGTGGTCGTTGTCCCTCGTTTCCGAGCAGGACTGGCGCCGGAGGCTCCCAGTACTATCGAGTACGAATGTTCGTCGCACCGTTTGGTATAGGTGAGTTGTAATTACACACGAAAGGTTGATATTGAACCTTACCCTGCGTACCACATGATCTCATTGAGGGCCATTCTTAGGAGATTGGACGTAAGTCCGAGCTTCCTTGTCCACTTGTGTGTACGCTGATGTGCACGGCGCTTGTACGAATTCTCTTTGTTTTGTGGTAGTGAGTTTGATCATTTAGCCTTGCAGTCATGATAGCAAGTGGTTTGTTTCGCCATCTCGCCCTCTGGGCACCGTGGCCACACCAATCTAACTAATGCTCTGCGTGTTGCGCGGGCCCCCCTGCAGTTTGGCATGCACATTTCCACATGTTGGTCGGAATGCGCGTGTATGTGTTTGCCACCTGCAGGTATGATCCGCTCAGCAAGCGGCTTGAGAACGGTCGAACTTCAGACCGAAGTGGCAACATCGCATGCGCATGACTTGCAAGCCTAAATCTTCAATAGTAACGCGTATAGGACATAACTTCCAGAAATATACTGGAGGTCCCACGTGTACTATCGACATACGTAGAGCCCGAGATTTGGTCACAGGATTTTGGATACGTTGATAATCTGGATTCGCCCGCTTTCCAGGCAATCGTACATCCAGTCAGCGGGCGTTGCCACCCACAGTAAATGGTAATCCCCTGATCGTAGGCCACGCAAATAGTGTGTACCAGCAGAGGGCATGCCCTCGGTGTGCGTAATACGATCGCACACGTATCCTCGAGCTCGGAGTTCAGCGCAAGCTGTTCGTTTGTTCTAAACAACATGGGCACGAGAGTGAGAATGGTGAGGTGAGCGTTCTTTTTCTGCGGCAGCCGCGCAGCCGGGTCCGCCGCTGTCCCTGGCGCGCACAGCCGGCGCTTGGGAGAAGCACGCAGGTGCCCCCGCGCCTGAAGGCAGATCCTCAGCGTTCGGCCTGTCGGGGCAAGCGCGAGTGGCCGTGGCGCGCGCCTGCCCCCCTCCTTCATTCTGAAGCGATGGGGGCGTCCAGATGTCCGTGCCGTGGGCCCCTGAACCACTGCTCGAAGTAAAGATGTCATACTTCTCGGCAGCGTTGCTCGCTACAGCAGGTTGCCCCGCGGCGTCGCCTGGCGGCGCCCACTTGCTGCCCTCCTCATAGAGATCCCGATAGATTTTGGCCGGCAAGTTTCGCAGGGCGAAGTCCTGATCGGCAGGCGCGGGGCTGTTCCCATGCGTCGTATTCCTGCGATGCCAGGTCTTGAGGGCGTTGATCACCATGGACTGGATCGTGTAAGAGAGCGTCCCCCCGTTGATGGAGTTGCCGATGCCCCTTGTGTCCTGGGACATCATATATGCGCGAGCATCGTTAGTAGCGGGTGCCCCGCCATCGGCCTTCTCATCGCCGACCACTTTGATGAGTACGGGTGTCTCCTCGCACTGAGGGTTGGCTGTGGCAGTAAACGCTGCCGAGCTTTGACCTCTGTTGCGACCCCATACTCGTCGACCTTAATCGCCAAGTGCCCTGATGGCGTCAAGTCCAGCATTCTGGCGCCTTTACCAAGGAGGAACCCGTGCATGTCTGTACCTGGAATGATAATATTATCATGTCCCTGTTGAAGGATCTGGATGGCGCGCATGTTCGACATGCTCCTCAACCCCAGGATTGCAGGGAGATTCTTGCCAGATCCCCCTGCCACATTTGCCGAGCAGGTGTCTCACCTGGCAATAGCGGTTGCCCCCGCGGAGTCGTCCCTTCCCTAGCGCGCAATTTTGCAATGCATCGACTTGTTGCAAACGGCGGCTACATGCCCCACTACAGACACACAGCCTCTTTGCCAGATCCAGCTTCTTGATGTCTTGACCATGGAAGCGTTAACCTCGCTCGAATGTCTGTGCATTTTGTTTTCAAACCTTTGATGTCGATGTTGCGAGAACACCCCAATGGTTTCCTGTGCGAATGAGAAATCATTGTTTTTTTTCGCACCCGTCTCCAGCCCGCTTTAGAACCGCTTAGATGTTTGAGCAATGTGGTGATTGGTCTACTTACGGAGATCGCCACGAGCTCAGGGGTCACTCCTGCTTGCGTGGCCACTGCGCTCGTGGCAAGGGACGGCAACGAGGGGAACAACACCGCTGCCCTCTGGCGCCCGAGGCTACCACCTGAGCCGCCTTGCGTGCCTCGACCATGGTTTGTTGTTGCATCCAAGGGGTGCTCTCGGCATGAGCTCTTGGACCATCGAGCGACGGCTCCAGATGAAAACAAGACATCGCTCCAGATGGCGCCTAGCGGCGAGCGGAAAACCCTGGGGTCCAAGATGCGTTTGCATTGGAATCCCCCATCCTGGCACTCATCGTCTTGTCCCATCTCGCCTCTTTTCCGCCCTCCCTGCATCCGTCCTCTCCTCTTCCGTTCCAGCCTCACTGTGTTTGGTATCCGTCCGGTTGCCCATTGCTCATTTGCACGATTGCCGTGCGTATTTGCCAGTCGCATGTTGTTTGCAGTTCTGTTTTGCTGCTGTTCCTCCACCGCCCGTGCTCTGCATGTCTTGGTCTTTCTCGACAGCCCGTGTGTTCGCATGGTGTTGTTAGAGACAGCCGCGGCCGAGAGATCTTGTTCTTTCGTGTCAAGTGTCGCGTCTTGAACAGTCGCGCAGCTCAGTCGTGCAAGCACGCGCGCGCTCGATCATGGCAAGGTCGTGCACGTGCGCAGCTGGCATTGGCGATGCGATTGCCCCCCGCTTGGAGGTCATGCATGCGCGCTGGAGCGAGTCCAACGGGATGTAAGTGCACGGCGGAATTCGCACGCATGTTTGTGCTCGGGGGGGTGAAGAGGGCATGCGTCGTGTGGCGAGGATTTCGTCTACTTGTGGAATTCCAAAGTCGAGTTAGAGGCTCGCCTCTCTTATGTAGTTCCTGATGCACGACCCTGTGAGTCGCGGGCAGGTCCACACTGATAATGACTCCAGTATGCCGTTGGCGCTGTCGGTTAAGATCGGTGAATTTAGCGATTGCCTTTTGTGTTGTGGGGCAGGTCTTCCGTGCTCCCGCTGAGCCCTCGGATTCGTGTCGTTTCGGATTTGCTGGCGAGGCCCACTTTGTCTGTTGTGGAATGTTTCGCCCACAGTGTTTCGAGGTGTGCGTCTTTGGGGCACACTTCCCCACGCTTCCCCACGCGTAGTGGTACATCAATCACTGCATGTGTATGCCGTATCTGTTCTTGTATGATTGCCTCAAGTCGATTGTGCCATAGGCTACCTTCGACATGTCTTCGTTAGAATGGACGGGCAATGTGGTGGCCTGCGGTACACCCATCCACATTGGCACCGCAGTGTCGAGATGTGTCAGACTTGGTTCTGCCATCGGCCCTCTATGCTCCAGCATGGGTCCAACATGGATCGACATGTCCACATCTCCCGCGGCTCATCTTAGCTCAACTGCATTCGCTGCTTCACTCCATCTGAGCTTAGGCCGTTTGCGACGCTATCCGAGTCCATGTTGGTGGTCTCTCAGGGGTCCCCTGTCCCTGACGAGGGCGCTCTTCGCGACGTGTCCAGCTCATTATCGTTTTCATTATTTCTATTCTTGCTTTCACGCGTCCTCCTCTGACTCTTATTCTTTGCTTTTTCGCGCCGTCTCCAACTCCTACTCCCTGTTTCTCGGGCGTCGTCTCGGGCTTCTGCTTGCGCCTTTGCCCTCGCTCTTGCTTGTTACTCCCTGCGCTAATACATTTTACAACTGCGCCTATTCCTCTTAGCAGTTCTTGCCCCAACCATTATCCTACGCGTGTTGCGCGCGAACCGCGTCACTCTGCGCGCGCGCTCGGCTCTGCCACGCCAGGGCAAGGTCCTTTTCGTCACCGCGGACAGAGGACACACTCGGGGCAGAGGGACACGGGCACTCTATCGAGGGCAAGCGCAGGACTGAAGGAGGGGAGATCCCGGCCCGCCTCGCATACACCCTGAACACCGTTGCCGCCAGGCCCAGAGTGTGCCAGAGATCCCTTGGAGATTCCGCCTTGTGCTTTCGACGAGTGACGACAGCACATCGCGGCCGCCTGGTCCAGAGTGTGCCGGGGCTCCCCGAGGATCACGCCTGACGTTCTCGGGTAGGGATCGTTCGAAGGACATGTTTGTTATGTTGTTTGTGGCCACCCTTTGGGAGCTCGGCGTTTCGAGTCCATCAGGGCGGCTGCCACAGGGGCGGGGGGTGAGGTGGAGGCCTTCGCCTAGCGTGCGGCTGTCGATGCCCGAGACGACAACGACCATCGTGATTGCGAGGCGGAGATTCGTCCATAATAAGCACCGCCTGGATGATCGACCTTCGTAGGCCTCGGCAGGCGGTGGGCATGAATAGTTTCGGGTTCCTTGGGGATCCAATTGTATGCGTACGTAGATTCCGTCTTCTCAGGTCCGAGGACATCGTTGCCCCAGGTGGTGGGTATGGGTAGGTTCCCGCTTCACACTGACGACGTCGACGACCCTCACCACGATCCTGACGACGATGATCTTGCGGGAGAACCAACACAAGTAGCAGTACAAGAGCCACTCAGGAGGAGCTGATGCCCTGGTCGAGGTGTAGGCAGCCCCACGGGTCGATTGGAGAGGTGGGCATTTTCGAGCCTTCCGACACAGAGGGAGAAAGCCAGTTTGATTTTCCCCTACCTCCTCGCTCTTTCCTCCCCTCCCCCCCTCGTTCTCCTCCTGCTTCCCCTCCGGCTCCTCCTCGTCTCCTGCCCATCCTCCTGTTCCTTCCCCTCTGCCCCTCCCCCTCGTCTTGCTCCTGCTCGTCCTCCTCGCTTCCCCCCCCTTTCCCCTTGCCTCCTCCTGCCCTCGACGGTCGAAGTGTCGAAGGAGGCAGGAGGCCTGGGGGGAGGTCGACGACGACCACGACTCGGTCGGATGGGAGAGGCGTACCCGTCGTTCGTTGAAAGCACGTATTCTCTGGACACCCAAATCCTAATCTATTCTAGGCGCTTTCCGACTTCAAGGATCGAGCGGTTTTCCCTCTTCCCTCCTCTTCAAGGGGCGGGCGGCACAACCCAGTCCACTTCCAACGCCTTCCTACTTCATGTTTCTACCCACTTCTTCCGACTGGCGGGTACGGTACGGTCGAATTGGGTACGCTAAGGCGGGGTGTGATGGCAGACACTTGTTCCCTCTTGTTGCCGCCCATTCTGCTTGCCTGAGGGAATGCTGCGGCGTTTCTGAAAATTGTCGAGGCACTTCCAGAAGTAACGCTATACATGGAACGAAGCTTTTTTTTGGCCCCAGAAGCGCTCAGGTGCACGAGGAGTGATAGAAGGAGCAACCAAAGAAGCCCATCAGAAGCAGCGAACCCCTCTTGAACCCGATGTGATCCTTATGTCACCGCCTTGACTGTAGCTGCTGGGTGCCAGGCCTGCCCCTGCTGATGTGTCTCGGGTTGCCTGGTCTTGATTCTCTACTGTTCTTGACGAGGCCTCGATCTGGTTGTTGTTGGTTGGTTCTCCATGGTTTTGGAAAACAGTTTTTGTTCTGGTTGGTTGGTTATGATTCCTTACTGCGTTCCTCATGTTGCCCAGCCTTGCTTCCGAGCAAGCCACACAGTGCCCTGGAACGGCAGGCAAGCCAATCACGGCACGGCAATTTAATGCCAAACCATTCCATGTAATCACCAACCAGTCCATACAATACCGAGTAACCCCGCGAAACACAAGCCGCTGTTAAGACACACCAGGAATCCCCACGCATCGCCAAGCTCTGCACAGCACAGCCAAGGAATGCCAACCAATGCCAAGCAACGCATGGCATCGCAATGCCGAGCCGCGCGCGGCTCATTTAGACATGATTCGTCGTCGTGAGGGAGAGGCGGGCAGAAGCGGGCGGAGGGGAGGGGAGGAGGTTTTGGACGGACCATGACAATGACATTGCCAGTTCGCGACTTGAAGCGATGAAGCAGGGGAGGGAGGAGGAGGAGGAAAAGGAAGAGGAGGGAGTCGGAGAGAAAGGTCCCTCCCCCGCCTTTTCCCTCCTCTTTCCGCCCCTCCCGTCCCTCCTCTTTCTCCAATCCTCTACTTGCTTTTCCGCCGTGTCCTCGTCCAGTGTACCTTTCCCTTTCCAGCCCCCGTCATCCCAAGACATTTGGGCCGAACCCTTCCGGCGGGATCAGTCCTTCCTCTGTGCCTGCCCGTGGCGCTCGGGAGACTGACGATGTGCCCCGCGGAGGTATTTTCCACCGCGGAGAGGATAACCTTTTGATGTTTTGGATGCATGTCGAGCGACCGCGCGCATGTGCATCCTTTGCAAGATGTGCAGCAAATGCGGATGCAATGGCGCTACCAAGGCACAGTTGTCCGTGCGCATGGGTTGCGACACCATGGTCAGGCTGTTTCAATCACGTAGGACGAGTTGATCAGGGGGAAGCCTCGCTCGTGCACCTGTAGTGGACCGTCCGCTCCCGTAGCCAGTCTCCCGCCGCGGGTGCAGGATCATAACGAGGGGGGCGACATGAGGAAATTATAGGTTCTGCGTGGCGCAGGAAGTGAGAAAACCGTCGTTTCGCTTATCAAGCGGGCTCTCGAGTTGGCAGCGAGGAGTTCAACCTGCCTTCGACGGAGCAGGTCCAGAAGTTTGAATATGGGACGGCGCTGGCCATGGGGAAGGCGTCAGAGTCGGGGGCCGAGCATTTACGACGCGCTGGCTGCGTCTACTGGGACACCGACCAAAAACGCAACCAGGCGGCTGCGCACCTGGCGAGAGAGTGACGAACAGTCCAGAATGCGGAGCTCCAGAAGAAGGAGGCAGCCAACAAAAATGGCTCCGGCATTGCTGGCGAGGCGCGCGGTAGGCCCGCGCCGAGGGCGTTGGCGCTGCGCACCGCAGAGTGTCCAACCTCATTTGGGGCCATTGGTCCTGCGGGCAGCTGGGTGAGACGGGGCGCGAGCCCTGCGAAAAGAAAGGCTTGGAGAAGATTCGCGCGCGACTCGTGGCCATCGAGGAGGAGATGAACTCCAAGGAAAATGGGGCCCGCGAGTGGTCGGTTCAGATGGTGCGCCCCCAATGGAGGCCGAGTAACGCGCGAAGAAGAGGCGCGCGGGCAACAATGACTCAGCGCGCGGAGGAGACGAGGGCGATGGCGGCGGCAAGGCAGGCGAGGGCAGCAGTTCGGGGCCCAGGCCAAGATAGCCGCGCAGGCCTTGGATGTCGAGACGGAACGCTTGGCGGCAGCCGCGGCCGAGGCAAGGGTCAGCTCCAGAGCGCGAAGAAGGGCATGTCTGGATGGGCGTGTTCACCACCTCCAATGCCGGCGTGGATGGCGCGGGCAGGTGGCAGTTGAGCCGCCGGTGGGGACTTGCATGCGTCGCGCGTTCTACGCCGGCGCTTCTTGCGCGCTTGGCTAGGCGCGGTCGTTCGCGGGGCAATGCGGGTCGCGGAGCGATCTCGTCGCTTTGGGAGAGACCCGCGCCCGCTCGAGAAGCTGGGCGTCGCGCGATGTCGAGCGCCGCCAGGCGGCGCGATGGCGCCGCAGGCTCGTCGGGGAAGTAGAAGCACGCCGACGCGGGTGGCGAGCGGCTGCGATCGCGTCGGCTCGTGCAGGCGTGCGGGGCGGCGGCCATAATTGCAGCTGGGCGCTCGGCGCCGCTCTCCAATTGCCGCGCGATTTGATCGCCGCCGCCGTTCCCCCATTGCGCCGGCGACTTTTCGCCCGCGTTCCGGCCTGGGCGCGACAGGCCTCGACGTCGGAACGTTCTGGCGCACTGCTTGTTTTCGGTATGCGACGCAGTTCCCGCGGGCAGTCGCCCGCGTCTTCATCGCGGCCTCGCTGCTTCAGAATGACAGGCGATGTGCGGAGACCAGGGGGGCCATCATTCAGGCCGGCATTGCCGCTGCTTGCAACCTGGCGTGGGGGCGCGCGTCGATGGCGCGATGCGCGGCGCCTCGGTCAGGCCATTTGTTTCGTCGGCGCGTCAATCCGCTGGTCAACGTTCTTGGGGGCCCCCGCTGTGGCCTCGCGGTGATTCTTGGGGGTCGGGGAACCGTCTGTCGCAGCGGTCATGAAAGCCCCCGGTCAGCCCCCGCAGGTGCCCCGCCCATCCGCCGCCCCCGCTGCAAGCCCCGAATCTAGTCCGCCGAAGGCGCGCGGGCAACAGCAGCAGCAGCAGCAGCAGACTGCAGTTGATGAGAGCCCCTTGGGCATTCGCGCCTCGCCTGGAGAATGCGTCTGATCTCAGGGGGGGGGGGGCGCCCCGGGCAAGGGGGCCGGGGCTGGGGCGTGCAAGTTCTTCTCCCGCCGCTGCAGATGCCGATGCGGGGCGCTTCCGCGATCGCGGCTGGCCCGAGGAATGGGGCGAAGAGCGCGGCGGCGCCGCCGATCAGGCCATCGGTAGAGCAATCCATCGTGACAAGACGGGGGCATCACCCGCAGGGTACGCAGCGCGGCTTGCATTCGCCGCGCAAGCACGCGCGCCCCTCATCGAAGGGCGTTCTCCCGCCCGCTCCTAGTTTGATCGGGAAATCGCACTCTTCATGGGCAGATTCCCATCGGTCCTGGCGACGGCGGGGAAGACGGTTCAACTGGGTTTCCGACGCCAGTTCGAAGTTCCGAGGTTGGCTCAAAATTGGCCGACGAGACCGAGATCGGCGTTCGTTGCCGAGGCTGGGGGGGGGGGGGGGGTCTGGAGTGCCCAGGAATTTGGTTTTGTGTCGACCTGTGATATGCGCCGACAGCAGGTCGGGCGCATGGCAGGCAGCGGGGTTTTGCAGCTTTCTCGTTCGCGTGCTGCTACAACGCGCAGCCGTTTGGCTAACACTTTCCTTTGTCGCGACAGCCTCATGGGCAGCTCATGGGCACTGCGATTAGTGGGGCGCGCGCGCGTTGAACGCGCGTGCG